GATGGTTGCAATATAGAACCAGAATCACATGTCACCCACAATGCCAGTAGTGAACCTGTTGACTACAACACTGAACCAGAATCACATGTTACCCACAATGCCAGTAGTGAACCTGTTGACTTCAACACTGAACCAGAATCACATGTTACCCACAATGCCAGTAGTCAACCTGTTGACTTCAACACTGAACCAGAATCACATGTTACCCACAATGCCAGTAGTGAACCTGTTGACTGCAACACTGAACCAGAATCACATGTTACCTACAATGCGAGTTGTGAACCAGATGGTTGCAATATAGAACCAGAATCACATGTCACCCACAATGCTAGTAGTAAACCTGTTGACTGCAACACTGAACCAGAATCACATGTCACCCACAATGCCAGTAGTGAACCTGTTGACTACAACACTGAACCAGAATCACATGTTACCCACAATGCCAGTAGTGAACCTGTTGACTTCAACACTGAACCAGAATCACATGTTACCTACAATGCGAGTTGTGAACCAAATGGTTGCAATATAGAACCAGAATCACATGTCACCCACAAAGCCAGTTGTGAACCTGTTGACTGCAACACTGAAGCAGAATCACATGTTACCTACAATGCGAGTTGTGAACCAGATGGTTGCAATACTGAACCAGAATTACATTTCACGCAGATTTACAGATGTGAACCAGATGGTTGCAACTCAGAACCAGAATCACATTTCACGCAGATTGACAGAAGTGAACCAGATGGCTGCAACTCAGAACCAGAATCATGTATGTTGCCTGCCAGGTTTGAGCCAGATGGTGATATCGTGAATCTTGAATCGTATATTGCACATGGTTCGGATGGTGGCTACGTGAGACCAAAATCGTGTATAATACAGAATAGTGTGCTACATTGTACCTGTCAGGACTGAGCCAGATGGTGGCAATTTGAATTCAGGATCATTCATCTTACAGAACAGTATTTTACCTGTCAGAAGTGAACCAGATGGTGGCAACTTGAAACCAGAATCATGTTTGGTACATAATGATGCCAATGGTGGGCCAGATAGAGGCAAGACAAAATCATTAAAAAGAAGAGTCATTTTGCCATTTATAACCTCACCAGAAGAATTTCTCACCCCAGGTTATACTAATTCCTGTAGAAATGTACGTAAATCATCAACCTTGTTTACAAAATATGATTCAGACATTGTTTTAGAATCAGACTGTGCATCTGATATTTCTGATTCTGAAATTCCTTTTTCCATTTCTGCAATCTAAATGGGATAGAAGTAAAAATGTTGTTAAAATTAGACCTCTCACACCTGTACAAACTAAGGTTAAAACACACCCTTCAATGGAAGTAAAAACTGCAGCTACTCATGACAATGAAGATGAAAATGATGAAGATGAAAATGATAGCGAAAACTTTGAAGATGACTATGACGATTCTGATGCTGACCCTACTTATGAACCAAATTCAGATTGTGAGGCTTCTTCTTGTGAATTAGATATGCATTGTATCAGTGATGTGAAAACTACAGGAAATGACAAACCATGGATGAAATCTAGCATAAGCTCCAAAGATAAAATTTGCCAATCAGCTGCTATCTGTCAAAGTATTGATAATTGTCCCAATAGTATCATTGTTCCCTGATCTGTCAGATTGTGAGTCCGTTGAATTCAATACTGTGTCACCATTGTCCATCAAAATTTCATGGGAAAGAAAACAGGAGTCATCAAAATACTTCTGCAGGTGAAATGAGCATAGAGTTTGTAAAGTCTTCAGGAAAAAAAAATCTGCCTAGTACATCATGTACTACAAATAATCCTAAGAATGACATCCAAATCAGTTCTGTGAATCCTTTCTCGGTGCAGGTTCAAACAACAAATAATTCCAATAGGAAAAGAAAATGGGACAAATTTCCTTACTGTGTTTACTGCATGAACAAATATCCAAAGTTACCAAGGCATTTTGAGAATAAACACAGTACAGAGAAAGATGTTGTCTATGCATTAAGTTTCAGAAAGGGAAGTACTGAAAGGAAAATTTTATGGCAGAAACTGGCAAATAAAGGCAACCATGCTCATAATGTTGAAATACTTAAAGATGGATATGGCTATATCATACCATACAGAAGACCATCATTTACAGTTCCTGTATCGCAGTATCTCCCTTGTCCTGAATGTTTGGGTTGGTTCATCAGAGCAGAACTGTATAAACACAACAAGATATGTCCTGTCAAACTGTTTGAAAATGCAACACCAAAATTAATTCACCGAAGAATACAACAAGTAGCAGGAATGTTATTACCACATAGTGATAATGTTACAGAGGGTATGGCGGACAGAGTGCTCTCTAGAATGACTCAGGATGAAGTGACAGTAATTGCAAGAAATGATTATCTTATCATAGAATTTGGATCCAGGGAATATATGAAAGTTGGTACAGAATCTGCAAAGATCCAGTATGTGAAGCAGAAAATGAGAGAACTTGCAAAACTTCTAATAGAACTTAGAAAGATCAGTAAGAAAAATGCATCCTCCCTAAAAGAATATATTCATCCTTCAAAGTTTGAAATCGTAATCCAGGCAACACAGCAGTTGGCAGACTATAACCTTGACGATAGAGTTCTTGGAAAACCTTCTCTTGCATTAAAGCTGGGCCACTCTCTAAAGAAATGTACTACAATCTGCATGGCTGAGGCAATCAAAAATGAAGACTCTATCAATGAATTAGCAGCTAAAAAATTCCTTAAATTGTGTGAGATACAGTGGGCACAGTCGATGAGTTCACATGCACTTAATACTATGAATAAAAAGAAGAGGAACATGCCAAAATTTCTTCCATTAGTTGAAGATGTTGTGAAGGTAAACATGTATCTGAAAAAGACTGCCACTGATGCTTATAAAGATCTACAAGAAGATACAACCACATCAACCTGGAAGAATTTGAGTGAGATAACATTAGCCCAATTGATTTTATTCAATAGGAGGAGGAGTGGGGAAATGGAAAGAATGCTTCTAGAAGATTTTAGAGAAGTACGAGGAGTCAATCAAGAAGCTGGTTCATCTTTGACAAGTTGGGAGCAAAATCTGTGTCGCTTGATTGATAGAGTTGAAATAAAAGGCAAAAGAGGAAGAAATGTGCCTGTTCTATTAACCAAGGATCTCTGTAATCGGATAAAATTACTTATCGAAAAGAGAAAAGATGTTAAAGTCAATGTGGCAAATCCATACATTTTTGCGCGTTTACAAAACTCACTGCGCCCAGTACGTGCACAGTATGCCTGAGAAAGTTTGTGAGAAATGTGGCATTGACATGCTGAACGG